GCTCCGAAACCACTTGTTGGGGGCGGAAAACCACTGTTGCTTTAAATGTTCCTCCTGCAGTGTTTCTATCATAACAGGTGAAAGCCAGCAAGGGACAAGACGGTGCCCTTTTCCCTTGTCTCATGGACACACTCTGAAGCATCTGACACTCGCCCACCCGTGTAGGGCACAGTTACGCCCCACTGATAACCATCAGCACGTCAAGGTTTATAACCAACGCAGTTCTGGTAAACTGGCCGATGGACTTAGAAGGTTTCCCAGTGTCAACATTTATGAGGGTCTGATAACGCCTAACATGTTCATCCGGGGGAGGGAGCAGTCAGTCCTTGTCCAGGGCCGGAGTTTGTACAGGCCTCCAGAGCACAAATTTATGTGAGCTTTTTTTCCCCAAATGGGGGCCTGAAGTCTACTTTGTTTATTGTCACAGCATCAACTATCATAGTTAAAAAAATTATTTTAACCTCTGTTGCTCCTAGGTAAAATCTGTGGAAAAGGTGTTTATAAAGTAAAATGAACCACATCTAGATGGGGATGTGTGGGGCCAGGGGTCTGGGCATGGGCAGGCACGTTTATTGGGGGTGCCCTGGGGGCCAGATGCTTTGCCAGGCTCTTTGCCAGGCTTGGGGTGCTGAGCCCAGGCCTCAGCACGTGAAGGCTGCAGACACCCCAGGGCTGTCCAGCCCAACCCCTCGCCTCACCTGGAGACCTGGGGAGCCAGTGACAGCTCCCGGGCACAGAGCTGTGACGGAGGGGCTTGGACTGAAAGTCCATCTGTTCAACCACCACTGTCCGTGCAATTAAAATAGTCTCTAAGCAGGAGGCAGTGACCACAGTCCTTCTCTGAGCACAGAGACAGCTGGTCTCCATCACCTGCCAGGTGATATAACTGGGGCTTTACTGGGATACAGGGATGGGAAGGCACTGTTATTTGAAAATAATTTGGAGCTACAGCAGAAAAGGAGAAAAAGTAGTGACGTTACTATATTATATGGCGCACTCCTACAATGCAGAATGTTAACAGTTGCCCCACCTTGGATTCCTTGTGGGGTCTCCAGGGGCAGCTGGACTTTTGCAAGAGCTGTCTAGAGGGGCCAGCAGAACAAGTAATCAGCCGAGGGACAGCCCTTGTCCACAGAGCTTGGGTCTCCGCTCCCCCATCACACCTCCCGCTCCCAGCCAGGTACGGCTCTTTCTCTCTACTCGAGAAACGTTAACAGCTAAAGGTTCTTCGGTCTTGATTTTCAGAGCAGCACCACATGCAGAATAACCCTCACAACTCTCCTCGTCACGTAAGGATACTTTCAATCCCCATTTCAGAGATGGGAACACAGAGCCTCACAGCATAAAGGATTTGTTTGGGGTGACACGGCCCTAGTGTCACCACGGGGGCACTAGACACAGGCTTCTGGGTCTCTGACCTTCATTCACTCCACCACACGCCACATCCTATTAAGGGCAAGGACCCCACAGCTTTCCTAGACATCACTGCCTCCTCGTTATCACTCACCACCAAGTGGCAGACGACAGTCACTCAACCTGGCACTGCTGAGATGTGGGGCTGGGTTATCCTCTGCTGTAGGGGGGCTGGGGAGGCTGTGCATTGTTTATTGTCACAGCATCAACTGTAACAGTTTAAAAAAAATTGTTTTAACCTCTGTTGCTCCTAGGTAAAATCTGTGAAAAAGTGTTTATAAAGAAGAATCAATGCCTGAACCACGTCTAGATGGGGATGTGTGGGGCCAGGGGCCTGCTCACGGCAGGCACATTTACTGGGGGTGCCCGGAGGGTCAGAGGTCTGGTCTAACCACCACTCGCTAGAGCTGGCGGTATCTGCCCCCCTCCCACCATAGTCCTGACAATCAGCTCTGACTCCAGACGCTGCCACACGTCTGTCAAAGGATGAACGCATGCAGGTGTGAGGACTGGGTCAGGGACCTGCGTGTGCCACTGTCACCAGCCTGGTCAGGGTGGGAAACAAGCTTGGACTGGAGGCTGAGGCTGGTTATCAAGTGTGGTCCCTGGTGAGAATGGCACTTTGTTCAGCCAGTCTCCTAAACAGCTAGCAGGTGTCCACCACATCATCACAGAAAATAAAACACACACACACACACAGAGAAAGAAGGCCGACATTCAGAGAGTGGACTTACAAGTGATTGCTTTTTTTAAGGTACTTTCTATATTTCACCATTTTCCCTGTTCTAACTCTAATCCTGTGCACAGGAAGGAGGCTGCTTCCAGGCCGGTAATTTAAACTCTGGGATGGACTGGCCCAACAGGGGATGGGGACTGCCCTACACACATGAACAGGGCTGATAACCCCGGGCCGTTCACCTCCTACGGCAGATGAGTGGATTAACTGGTCTCGAGCACAGACGTGCTGGGCTCGCAGCCACCACCCCAAGTGGCCCTGGGAGGCTCAGCCCAGTTGGTGAGCTGGACTCCTCTGTTTATAGCAACAGCCGTGGAGTCCTCCCCGCACCTCTCCAGCACTCCAGGGGGGTTTCTCCAACTTCAAAGAAGGAAGACAGGGTCTGGAGGAGGGGAGGGGGATTCCGGGGACAAAACAGCTTGAGTCCCCGAGGCAGAACCCTGCCCATCTGGGACATCTCAATAACCCAGCTGTGTGATGTGCAGCCCCCTAAAGGGGGACGGGCAGGTGGTAGCCCACCTGGGGGCTCTGGGTAAGGTGCCTGCCATCACAAGGTTATAAACAGCCATAATTAGGCCTTTCTGGAAAACTGGGTAATACTTTTATTACAACTTTTATTGTCTGTATGTTTTATATGAATTTAATTGTCTTTAGCTGCTATAATTTGGAGCAAAGGGGGTGAAGGCAGAAGTGATAATGACAAACTGACCCACGAGCAGATCCAGTGTCTGGGGAAGCAGCAGAGACCCTGCTCATCCTTACTCGCCTCCCACTGCCCTGACTCTCTCGGTTCCCTGCACAGGATCACTGATGGGGTCCATCAGCACAGGCTCTGGGCGTCTGCTCTGGCCTGCATGAGGCGGCCCCCTGAGCTCAAGGTCCCAGGTGGGACCAGACAGCAGCCCCAGCCTCTCCTGGCTCTTGTCCTTCAAATACCACCCCACTCTGGGAGGCTCGGTTCCCCACAGAACGGAGGAATACGTCCCTCCTCTCTGCGCTGGCATGAAAATCACTACCCATGCTAAGTAACCTAGATCCCTTGAGAAGTCATCTGAGTCTGTTATTTCTATGGCTTAGGGAGTGTTAATAAAAATAAATGGACAAAACGATTCTCCACTATTTAAGCGAAGCCGTTAGATAAATATTAGATCGTATTTCATAAACCAAAGGAGAAAACACAAGGTCTCTGACTACAGACCATTCCAGGCATTGGACAGTGAGCAAAGCCTCACTCTCCCAGCTTAAGATGAGGAAGTTATAAATTGATCGATGTACCAAGCATCACCCTCCAAAGCTTCTTTTCCAGCTCTGACCACAAACGTGAGGCTCCTGTGTTTAGGTTCCGTTCATTCAGCAAGTCTGGGGGAGACATCTTCAATTCTAGGCCACGAAGGTGGATGGTGCTGATGCTGGGGTTTCATCTGCCCAGAGCAAACCCCCTCCTCCCTTGTCATTTCAATGGTTTTTTGAATCCCTCTATGACAGCTTCAGGAACCTGAACATTTGCAGAGTTACAGCCTGAAGCTCCCCAAAGCCCCTTCCCTCACTGATGATTCCCGCAGCAACAGCAGAAGATCACAGCTGAGCCCAGGGGCCTGGATCAGGAAGGCTACATGGGCCCGTTTTGGGGGCATTTTCCCGAAACTTCCCCCCAGAACCACCTGCATCTTTATGTGTCACCTTAGGAATTTAAGATCCTTTAGACACTGCACTTTTACTAACCTCCTGGGAGGAAGACACAAAAGACTAGGATGCCTTTGAACCTGTCTTTACGTTGTGTGTGCCCCTCATCCTCCTTTTGGGGGGGGGGTCCCCAGGAGAACTGGGTTCTGCTTCCTCTCTGTCCCATCATGGAGTGCTTCAGCGGAGTCCTGGACTTAGAGCAGCCACTCAGAATATCCTGAAAGTTGTGTTGTTTTATCAAAGCTGCCTTGGAAAATTTCTCCTTGAGGCCCCCACACACACACACACACACACACACACACACACACACACACACACACATGACTTGCGTGTCTACTTCCATTTTTGGCACACAATTTCCCATTAATAAAAGAAACCAGCAACGGGAGAGACTTTAGCTCTACCGAAAATACCCATTTCCGACAGATTTCTCATTTCGTCTGAAACACTATAAATAAAAAGCGACAAACGTCAAAGACATAAAAAGGTCATCAATTTCATCTCTGCTCATTTTAAAAGACAGTTGCTTCAGAAGGTTCTTACATTCTGCCCCAGTCTTAACACCATCTCCCTTTTGGGAGAGCTACCGCCCACACACTGAGCATCTCAGACTCCGGGAGCTGAGATGCTTCCTGCGTGAGGCTGGGCCCTGCGGGCCTGCTTATTAAAAGGCAGGAAGTTCTTGCTTTGAGGGAAAGGTTAGAACAACGCTAAGTGACAGAAGAGCCAATGCTTCATTCACAACAGAAAACTAGCCCAGGCCCCGGGGGAGCCTCCATCCCTGAGAGCACACACCCCCCGGGAGTCTGGGCCTCACCGAGCTTCCACACTAAAAAGCAGAAGCAACATTTGAGTGATCCACTGAGGGGCCCATCTCCTCTCGGGACAATCTGCACGACGAGTTTTTACATTTTCCTGACTTCTCGGATCTAACACAAAACCTTGTCTTCCTCCTCCACGCTCCATTCCTAAGTCTTGATCAGACATATTATTGGTACCAAGAGGAATTCTGACTTTTCCTTCCAATTCCGCTGCAACGAGGCTTTTACCCAAAGCATTTACATACATTGTGGATGTCCAGCAAGATACTCCCACTGTGACCTGATTTCCCCGTCACCCTCCCCTTCCGAACACCCTCCCAGGCCGCTGGCTCCAGCTAGGCTCTTACCAATTCCTCTGTGGGGCGACTTCCTCTCCGCCGGCTGGTTCTCCTTCCTGGGATCCGAGGGGGCCCCCACCTTCTCCAAGTCCCCAGGGCTGGTGTCGGGGGGCGCAGGCAGCTGGGGGAGGGTGAGGGTCTGCAGCAGCGGCTTCCTGGGCAGGGGCGGTTTGGAGCTGAGCTGCTCGGCGGACCGGGCCTTCGCCTTGCCCTGCTCGTTGGGGGTCCTGGCGCCTCGGGCGGCGGGGCCCGTCCCCAGCGGACCCCTGTCGTCCCTGGAGAGCAAGGTCAGCCCTCCTTTCTCTAACCTCACCTCCGCACTGTACCTCTTGATCCCTCTCCCGTCGGGGCCGGGCGCCTCCCTGTGTTTTGAAGGACAGAGACGTGGAGCGGAGCTTGACCGGGAAGGGGCTTCCGCGCTCGCCCGCGGGCCGCTCCCGCGCAGCTGCG